CTACATCTGATGAGCAGAGACTCTAAACTGGACTAAAATGAGTCAAATTATCCATAAAGACTCAAACATTGTAATTTCAAAGTACTTTAAAGTACATTTTGCAGATTTTAAGTTATTTTTGGACAATTGTTGAGTCAATTTGGATGTTTTTTGTCACTTCAGATGAATTTTGGGGTCAATTTACACAGTTTAATGTTACTTTGGACAAGTTTTAAATCATTTTGGCAAATGTCTAGACTGATAGGGACAATGAAAAAAACCTACTGGATCAATAAATAAATGCAGCACGGCTCAGAAACAGTGTTTTCTGTGTTCTACTGTTTTCGTTTTAACATCTTTTTATGTCCTTATTGTGTAATTTTTCCCATTTGCATCGTTTTAGCTGTGCCATGCTGCATTTCGTGTCTCTTTGTGTTGTTTTAGGGTCTTTTTGAGGCAGTTTGGTATGTTTTCTGCCATTTTTGTGCCATTTTTGTCCCTTTGTACCATTTTAACTGTGACGTGCTGCATGTACTTGTCTCTTTGTGCTACTTTTGTGTCCTTCTCTGTCTGTTTAGCATTTTTTCATGTTGTATTTGTGTCTTTTTAACTAATTTCTGTGTCATTTTAGCATCTTTTTGTCTGATTTCTCTTTCTCTGTATGACGTGCAGAGACAAATGAGCCCACAGCGAGTAAAAACTGTAACAGGAACAGAGAACAGGCCCAGAAGCTGCTCGGGGATCGGTTAACAACACCTCATACCCGTGAATGTGTTCAGACCTCAGATATGACGGCGCTGATGTTCTTGGAGTGGATGAGTTCGGCTCCGGGAACAAACAGACTCTGACCTTTCATCTTCTCAAAGTCCTCCTTATATCTGACCTGCAGGGAGGAGAAGACACGACAGTTTACATGTATGTTGTTTTATGTTTCTGTAAATTACATTACACATGAGACAATATGAGCATTAAAACATGTAAAAAGTAAAAGCATGAAAGTAAAAATGTACATTGTATTAAAAACAGTTTTTATGATTATTCTTTATTTTATCATTGATTGATTTATTCATACCATATTAGTTGTTCTAAATAACAAAACAAAACACAATGGAAAATGCTAATTCTAATAATTAGAAATGTCAAATTTTGAGATTTTGACACTGACTGATTATAAATATTTAAACTTGATGCGAATCTGTTGACAGAGAAACATACCGAGCAGATATTTTACATTTAATTGTTTCTGAAATGTCATGTTTAAATATGCAAATGAAGTATAACAACACATCTTATCTGTGTAAATTTGCACTAATTTCCAGAACAGAGACGCAAACGTTGGAAAAAGACTCTCGTTTCATCTTGTTGACATGTTAAAGTCGAAGGTTTTGACAGTGGAGATATGAAACATTTCACTTTATCACCCCATAAACCAGAAAATAACTCACAATATCCAGAAAAGAAATCCATTTTCACCATTTTTTTCCTATAATTCAGGCTGTGAATGAAACCCTTCTGTAAAAACCTGCAGCTGACAGAGAGGTATAAATAAATGCTACTGAAAAAGAAGATTTCTACTCATTTGTGGGATTAACGCTCGGAGCTGAGCCAGAATCAGTTTAATAACGACGTGAATCTACAGTTTGTGTTGTTGTTCCGTCTCTGCTGCTGCTGCTGTGTCTTGAGTCTTGTGATTGAACGTCATCTGAACACGCGGCACAGTTTGGTGTCCGGCCGAGACCAGCCGAGCGGCAGATTTTCTGCAGGGACCCAGGAGGAAAGTGGAATTAATCCACGGATGACAAGCTGTCGCCGCAAAATCTGGGAGCGGAAAAACAAAAGGTGCTTGATGGTGCCGAATAGAGGTTCGCTGGTCGGCCTACTCTCTCCGTGATATCTATTATGAAATGAACAAAATTAGTAATAAATAAAAATGTGCTAAATTATAATTTAGTGAAATTAGACGCGGCTTTTGAATTGTGGTTGAAAAGAATAATTTTTAAAAAACAAACTGTCCCGGTCCAATGAGAGCACTTTGCTGATGAGCAGTGGGTCAGAACACCTGTCAACAGGTGCAGAAGTCTGACTGAGAGTTACAGGAAACACCTGATGGCAGTGATTGGCTCAGAAGGTTGTTCAACTAAATATTAGTTTGTGGGTCCATTCATGCTTGTTTGCTGTTTTTTAATATATTTCTGTTGAGCCACAATTCAAAAGCAACGTCATGATGTTCATTACATTTTAATTTATGATTACTTTTGTCAAATTCAACTTATTTCAGCTGTTTTTTTCTTTCCTTCTTTAACAGGAGGCTATGAATCCATCTGAGGACGACTGTAGATGAGTGCAGCTGCAGAGAAAATTATTAAAATTAAAAGCCTTCCTCATGTGGCGTAACACTGCAAAAGTCGTCCAAAATAGTGTTTTTCTGGCTTTGCACACGTCGTGGTCCTTGTTGTTCGTCATCCTGTAGCTGAAACATTTATAACACAACAGAGAGCTTTTCTCTCATGTCGCTGTGAACATGTGTAAGTCTGTAATGCTTGTACATAAAGTTAAAAAAAAGAGTAAATGATGTTCTGTGAGACGTGTTTCTCTTCTTGATTAGTCGTGCAGAATGAGAACTGGGCAGAAACAGCAAAAAGTTAAAAAGTTAGATTCTTCCGACATGATTTTCGGCTCCTAACTTGTCCCGAACCCACAGAAAACCCATATTAATTATATATCACACCATGCAGCTCAACCAGGAGTTGTGTGCTGTGACTTTTGGTCCCCATTGAACAGAATGGGGAGTTTGCCATCTTTGGAACCCTGACGCTCCGGCAGACTTTACAGCAGAGACTTCATTCTACGTTTAAAGGATGTCAATGATATTCCTTTAAATCCATATTTTGTCACCTTCGACGGTTTATCTGTAGCTGCAGTTTAAGTTTTATAAATTTCTGTGAAAATTCTCAATTTTTCTACAGCGGAAGACGTCATGTGACCAAATACATTTAATGAATGAAGTGCAGTTAATTTTGTCCCCTTCCTATAATTTCTCCTCTACATGAACACTTTACACATAAAACTGTAGGTACTGTTGTCCTCTTCCACCCAGCGTGAGTCTCATTGCTGTAGGATTTATGGTTTTTTTCATAAATCACCTCAGAGCTCAGAGAATGTCAACCAAGACTCTCGTTGACTCCCATTATAGCCTCAAAGGTTTGAGTGAAAATAAGAAACGGTGAGTCTTTTTAACCAGCCACTAAATCTGCATAAAACACAGTACGGACATGAGAACACATCAGCGTGTTGGGAACAAGATGTGCTTCACACGCTGAAAGAATTGTTTTGATAGGACGTATAGTTTATGAGCTGTGACCGTTTGTTCGAGGAGATAACTCTCATTCTGCTCTGCTCACTGAAAGCTGGTGGTGACTCGCAGCTGATTGGCTGATTGATACGCTTTCAAAGTAAAAGCTCAAAGATGTTAAAAGATCAGGGTCCGTGAAACATGCTGGCTTTTCAAAGTAAAACTAATTATAGCTTATCTATAAATATAGCAGGATATATTTCGTGGCAAAAGCAGCATCGGTGCTTCAGGAACGCTCTAGTTTGCTTTATTTCACTCTTTCGCACTTCCTGTGACTAAAACAACAAAAACCAGCGAATGTGAGAAAAGTTTCACAATATGCTAAAGAAAGAGAACATCAGAGCGGCTCCTTGAATGTCCTCTTGAAGACAAACACTGCGTTGCGTAACTTCTTGTTTTATACACTGAAGCTCCGTTCGGGGCGTTGTGAACTTTAAAGTGGCGAACGTTTCCATGGCAACAGCAGCATCTCCTGCTTGATCCGCCTTTGAGGATCGCAGCGAGTGCAGAGCTTCACCAGAAATTTCGGGAACAAAGTAAAAGTCCTCCCGCCTGCCGTCTCTTTGTGAAGACGTAGACTCGTGTCGGTGAAGAGCAGAAGTCTCGTCCCGGAGTCGACAATTAAAGGTTTGAAGGCAGGTGTTCTCAGAGCAGCTGGAGGTACCGGCGAAGACGGTTTTATAAAGTGGGTTGAATCGCTTCCACTGTAGCTGATGAGTCATTCTGCTGCCAAAGCTGCCAAGTTTGACTCACACCAGGGAATCGATATCTCACCCTCCCACATCCTACAACAACACTCGCCCTCGTTCAGCGCTTCACTGCCAGATATTTGCTCCAAAAGGCAGTTGCAGAAGTCAAAAAAGCGCCTTTTTTTTTTCCCTTTTCTTTGACTGTGCTGAATAAAAGCTGCATCTTCGGAGGGGTGTTACCAATGGCAACGCTGCTCACATCGGAAGGAAAAAGATGACGACGCCTCACATGTTGCAGAAATTATTCATGAGGTTAAATCGAGCAAACTGCAGCCGATGCTCTGTTTCTGACTCCACGCGAACGCCATTTTGGCTCATGGATGTAGCCGAGCTAGCATCTGTTTGACAGCTTGTCCTCGTCTTTGGTCTGATGGGCTCAGATATGTCCACAACTGTTAGACTGGCAGCCATGAATGTGTAATATCTCGATTAGTTGTTTTATGGTGGAACACTGACAAAAGCATTCAAAATATACACAGAGCTGAACAAATGTATTAGACCTGTAACGGTTAATACAGCAATACGTAGAAGCTCTTCAGCAGAAATGATATTTTTAATGCTAAAATATAAATATTAATGTTATCCAGGAGTTCGGAAATCTGCTGTTTTACAAAAACCAAAAAGGGGAAAATCGTAAAGCGCGTTATTATTTCTGGATTAAGATGTCAGATTATAGTTATTTACTTGCTGACTATAACAACGCTGCTTTGCGAGCAGACGGATGCTTTTGGCTCAATAATGCTTCAAAAACAGGATGGAATTTGTTTGAGACTTTCACATCAGATCATTTTTCTCTCTTTAGTCATTTTTCTTTTAAGAAAATATCTGCAGAACTACGAACATTACCACCTGTCTGACCGGACTAGTTAGCATGCTAGCATGCTAAGTTGAAAAAAGACATTTAACCTCCTAAACCCCAGCTAGTTAGCATGTAGCTCATGTTACAGCATCATAGAGCTGCTGGTATGTCTGCAGACACAAACCGTGAGCACAGTGAAAATAATTAAAGTAAAGAAGTGAACTCACGTCGCTGGCGAGCAAACTGCATCTCCTGTTGAACGCCGGGTCTGGTAGCGGAGGCTTCACATCAGAGGAGGCCTGGAAACACATCATGTATGTGAGAATTAGAGGCAGAGCGGGCCTTCAAAGCCACGAATGAAACTGACAGAAGGAAGACTGGGTGCCTATAAAGGTATTCACCCACTGAAAAATGTCACATTTTTTAATTAACATTGAACAACATTGAAACATGGTCAATTTAATTTAGCGTTTTTGACAAGAATTTACTGGACTCTGACTCTGTCACTCCAGAACATTCACCTTCTTTAAACCATTTCTGTGGAGCTTTGGCTGTTTGCTTCTGCTCATTGTCTTTTGGGAAACAAATATTATCCCAAATCTCAGTTCTTCTGCAGACTGCATCAGGTTGTCCTCCTGGATTTCCCTTTACTTTGCAGCATTTATTTTACCTTCTA